ATAACAGCCTTTCATATAACAAATTAAAAAAATGAACTGTGAATATTAATTTTCTAAAAATGATAAAATATTCAAAGATTAAGTAAGAATTTCATTATGCGGTTTTTTAAATATAGATGAATATAAATGCACTAATATATTGTTGAATGAAAATTGTGTCCAATTATTATTTCTAGATTATATATGGTTATGTTCTAAGAGATACAATTCATAAAATTAATTAAATGATATTTTTTTAAATGGTTTAGATGAAATTATTCTATAAAATTTAATTTGATTTAAAAATTTGAAAAAATAGTTGAATTAAGAGGATTAATCATTTAAGGTTAAAATTTCTAAATGACTAAAAATAATTTTGGATGTTATTCCAATAATCAGATTATAATAACTATAATATAAATTTTGAAAATAGTTGAAGAATATTATAAATTCTTATGATTTATAACCCAATTAAAATTGTTAAGAACATAAATCATTGCCCTAAATCCCAATTTTTATGCTGTTGTCATAATTTCATATTAATTTTCGATGAAACATATTCTTTAAATTAGTTTGTCTTTATAAAGCTATCTTTATTTCATGAAAGTGTTTTTTTTCATTAAATATGTAGAATAATTAGTTTTTCATATAATACTATCAGATATATGTTTAAAAATTGATTTTTGAAGTATTTAAAGAGACAAACTAAAGTTTTAATAATAATTATAATACAAAATTTATGATTAATTAGAATAAATATTGATTTTCTAATGATTTTAAATCAAATTCTAAAAGAATAATTTGCTGAATATTTGTTCCATTTCAAATGAAATTAATTTCTTAATAGTAAATTAATCCTATGATATTTGCCCTTAATCATAGTTGATAAACGCTAATGATTGATTTTTTAAGTTATATGCTTAATTAATTTTATTGAATATTCAATTAGGTTTAATAAGTCAATCAGAATTCAAACAGATTTAAAAATTTATTATAAAATAGAAATTGGGTTTCGGTTTAATATTAAATATAATGTCACCAACAAAAGTAGGAGCAAAAAAAACAGTAAAGAATTTGAAAACAAAAAAGAAATATGAAAATAGTACAACAAGATGTAAAAGGTCGTTTGAATTATATATCTACAAAGTCTTGAAATAAGTTCACCCAGATCTGAGTGTTACTAAAAAGGCTATGAACATCATGAATTCATTTATCAATGATATATTTGACAGAATAATTCTTGAAGTCAGCCATTTAGTCAGATTTAGCGATAAGAAAAGAAAAACACTTAGACCAAGAGAAATCTAAACTGCTGTAAAATTGTTATTTCCAGGAAAGTTGGTTAATTATGCCATAAAAGATGGAGTCAAAGCACTCACCAACTATAACTTCTATTTCTTGAAGCAGTAATAAGATAGTCCTTTCTGTAATTTTTAAGTTTAAAAATGAGTTATTTCAAATTATTATTATTATCCATTAATTTATTAGATTTTTTAGTTCTTATTAACTTTAGGTTATAGCAAATTATGCATAGTTAAATTAATCTATCTTTAACAATTGTGATGTAGTTAATTCTAAATGTATTCATGATAATTTCTTAAATGATCATACTTCTTAAATCAAATGTTTTAATTGTCTTGATAGTTAATTCATTTAAGTTTAACCTAAGGTTTATTGCCAAAAATGAATTTGATGTTATAAAATATGATAAATATAATTGCTAAATAATTTATTTTGTAGAACTAAAAAAATTATCTTTATACATTGCATAGTAGCTCGAGAAGTAAATCTTTTGATTACAAGTTTCAGTGTCCTTATTTTATGAACTAATGATTTATAAAGCCATTTGTTCTTGATCAATAATCTATTAATCATAAGAGTTTTATAAAATCAAAAAAGAATATAAAATCTAATATCTTTTAGTTCCATTAGTAAAAATCAATTGAACCAATTATTAAATGTTAAGCCATATTTATTTTTGATAATCATACATAATTTAATCATTGGAAATTATGCTATTATAATTATTTATTAGCTTCACCCACATATTATAAAATTGAAAACTTACATTAAGATTAGAAATTGTTTTGTCAAAAATATTCTAAATTTAAACTCTTTACTTTAATAGTTGTTAATTCACTTATATATAATTATCTATAAATTTATTAGAATTAATGAGAATATTAATAGATTTAATATGAAAAATAATATAATTTTAATGAAAAGTAAGAAATTAGCTTTCTAAATTTAAAGATATAAAAATTCAAGATATACTATAATCATTAATATATATAAAATGTATATTGAATTGATAATCAAAGATATAATTAATATATTTTAAATTCATACAATTTTGAGTTCCAAATGACTAAATATTTAAAGTCATTTGTAACCACTCCTCCGAATTAACCATTTGGTTGATTCAAAAAATTTGACACTATCTGAAATGATCTATTTTATAATTATTTTACTAAAATTAATGGTTTAGCCATGATGACAAATAATTTAGTTATATTATGAATTATAAATAAATGGAAATTTAACATATTAATTTATTTCATTTATTATGCTGCTTTTAGGATTTTAGATAAATATTTGATTTTCTTTCTCAAATACAAGAATATTTTGTTCTTTAAATTAAGTCGAAATAAACTAATTATCTTTAATGAAAACTATTTTATTCCCCATATTATTGAACTGAATGATTAACAATATTCTTAAACTCCCAATCATTATTTTTTTCCAAACAATAATTTAAGCATCTTTACTACAAAATAATAAAGTAGTTTCAGATTGATTCAAAAAAATTGAAGTAACCTCATCTAGATGTTTATTTAAGGATTATTTAAATAGTAAACTTTTCTATAAAAAATTTAAGGAATGTACAATCATTATTGAATCATCACTACTTGATATTAATTAGTCTTATTTTTTTGTTTATAATTAAACATCTTACAGTTTCAATGTGTTAATTTTCATAAATAATACTTATATAATATATTTAATTCAGATAATTCCATATTTAAAGACTTCCATCACAATGCCCAGAAATAAAATAATTTGATTGTTAACCAAATAATAAAACACTTAAACTTCTTTAACAAGTCATTCTCCTTAACATTTCTATTCTACCTTCTTAGAATAAATAAACTGTAATCATATCATCTCCCCCTATTAACAGTAAAAACCCATTTCTATTAAATGCCATTGAATATATTTATTATATATCTGCTAAAAAGGGTCTTAATATTGATAAACCTGTTAAACTTTCAAGCTGTTTTAATAAACTTTATTTTTTATTTATTTATTCTTTTTCTACTTTTATAGAAACCTTATTTATTTTATGTTCATCACCATCTTCTTATCTAGAATTAATTAGAATTTATTTAACATCTAAAACCATAGCTTATCCTTGTTTATATAGAAGTAATCGAAATTAGGGGATTGTTTGAAGTTCACATTTTTGCTATTCTTAAGAACACATTTCAGCCATTTCCTGAAACTTAACTATACTAAAATCATTAGGTTATAAAAATATTTGTTAAAAACAGTTTGATGCATCTACAATTCTAAGATAAACAGAATCAGTCATATTAGTTAAATTGTTGTATAAAGCATTTCTTAACTATTCCAATTTTGAAAGACTGTTTTTATAACATTCTTACATATATATCTAAGCATTTTATTATTGTTCTAATTTCTGATATTATTTTTGATCCCAAGTTTTAATGAATTATTCTATATCTAATCCACTTTATTAACAATCTTAGCATGAAATTCTTTTACTTTTAGGAACATTCTTTTCGATATTAATAGTTTCTCCTATCTTCTTATGTTCAGGACATTAAATTAGCTTAAATTTTTACTTAATTTAATAAATATATATATATCTCCTTTTAATTAATTTTTTTTTATAGTTGAGGTATCAATATAAACATTCCGAAATTTTTCTTAACTTAATTTAGCTATTTCAATCACTTTATCAGCTAATTTAAAGTTCATTAATTAATCTAAGTATACCCTAATTATTAAATTTCATAAGTTATTTTTAATTTACTATCTTTTAACCAATCTTCATCATACCTTTGTATATTGTCAAATATATTCAGAAAGTCTTTTTCATTTTTATTAATCCAAGTCACTGATATTAGGCTTTCCTACCATTTCTAAACATCTTTGAGAATTTAATTTAATAGATTATTCAAATTTCTCTTTTATTCATCAATATACTATTCAATAGATTAGAATTTTTTTAAATCTCATTTTAATATGGATCAAAACTCTTTCTACCTTTTTAGTATAATTATTTAGAACAATTCTGTTTTAAATAAAATTAATCCACCTCTTAATAAGGTAGAATATTATATTTCATAATCTACTTTATTGTAAGGGCTTTGAATGTTACCATATTGGATTAAGGAATTAGGTTGTAAATCAAAGTTTTGGATCCATAACTGCAAAGAGATAAGTTATTCAATTATGTCTTTTAGCATGACTAAGAAAATAGTAGATAAATTTCATTTTTATTAATTATATTTTAACCCAAAATAACCAAATAAATAAGCTTTTAAAAGTTTATTTAAATTAGTATAGACATTATGCTTATAAAAGCGCTTCCAAGATTTCATCCTATAATTTGAGATTCAGAAATTAGTAAATATTAGATTATTTGATATTGAATCTCATTGATAACATAAACGAGACTATTTAAATTCCAGTTGAAAAATTCAATTTTAATAATAATTCTATTGAGACTTAAATTTAAGAAAATGTAAAAGATATATATATTGAAGAAAGTCTAATATTTATCTGATTTCATTTGAAAATATACTACTATTTAAATAAAATCAATTGAATACATAAAATATTGACTGCAATTATAATTGTATTAATTATTTATTAATTAAATAAATTAAAAATATTTTATTTTTTAATTTTACTTCTAATTATTACAAATTTCTCTTTTGAAATATTTTAAACATTAAACCTAAAAGAATGTTTAACCCAAAAAAACTGTAAAGTAATTTTAATCATCAAGGATCTTATTTACCTATAAAAGAGTATCATAAGTTTTTTTCATATTTAATTCTATTAAAATACAATTATAAAGAAAAAGAAAGATATTTTTATATTATTGCCCATTTTATAGAAATTAATAATGAAAATTTGTATTAAATATAAAAGTTCATCAAATTACTTCTGTTTTTACATTATCTTAATTTTCATCATCTAATTTTTTTAAGAACTTCTCATCCATAATTATATCAAATATTTGATCTAAAGCTTTCATATTTATTTAAAATTTTTGATAATGTTATAATGGATACGGGCCTTTGATAGGTGAATCTCCTTTTTTATTTATAAATAAAGTATTGGTTATAAAAAAATAAGAAGTAGAATATATTAATAAAACTTAGCTTTTTTCAACATCTAGAAACACACATTTCCTTAAATGTTTTTTCTGAGAGTGTCTTTATAAATTTCCGAGATCGCCCTTAAATTTAAATTAATATATAATTACTTGACTAAATTTTCCACAAAATTTTGGACACATTTTTTTGAGACATATAAGGCAAATATATTATTCTTGATATTGAGTCTACAATTTCAATTTAGGAAATTAGCAATTTTTCTTTTAACAAGGTAGTAAGTAATTCTTATCTAAAAATGAACTAAAATTATTAGTTAAGAGATTTAATCTTTATTTTTTGAATAAATCCTTAATTACTTAGATGTCATAAGGTAATAATTTATTATTAATATATTTATTGATTTTTCTTTATGTCAATACTTCAAATATTGCTTTAGCCAATTCAATATTTTGATTTAGTAATATTTTAAGTTTATAATAAAAATTATTAGTATCATGCTCTTTTATCAGATGAGTTTAAATTAATTTTAAAATTTGAAATAACATTTCGGTTTCATTTAATTAGATGTTTTCAATTAGATTAGAATCCAACTTTTTATATAACAATCTCATTAGATGTATAATTTTTTATAGAAATAGATTTTGATTTCTTTAAATAAAATTTTCTAAATCACTCAATAATTAGAATATTAAATTACATAATATTTAGGATAAAATTTCATTAAGAAATGAATATATATATATCCCTAAGTCCAAAATTTTTCTGCAACAATGTCTAAAACATTGTCTAAAAGTGATTCTTAGAAAATATTCATTGAAAATTCAAAATCTAAAGTCTCTATATTTTACATGTTATAAGAATTTGGTAACATAAAATTATAAGGTGAAAAGCACAAAGGGCATTAAAAATATTTATGATCATTTATGTTTAAAGAATTGATTTATTTTTTCAAACAATCAGCAAGAAAAGTATGATTACAATTAGAAACATGAACGGATAAAATTTTGATTTCTTAATTAGGTTATAATTAAAAAATATTTAAATACTAATAGACATTTGTGTATTAAATTAATATTGGCAAGTATTAAAGATCCTCTTTTTCAAATGGTAATTTACATAATAAACATTTTTCATCATTATCTTCTATGAGTTATTTATTATTACTAATCTTGCTATTAAAATTATCTTTCATTTAATTGAATTTTTATTGTAATTATTATTTATGTATTTAATTTTTTTCAGATTTAGATTATTATTTTTAATGATCAGTTTCATCTAATTTTTAAGTTATACTTTAATTTTCTAATCTTTAGCAATAGACCTGGAAAAAGCCCTCTTAAGTATGATTTATTTTTTAACTCGATAAAATTGTTTAGCAATAATGTAATATTTTATCCAATCTAGTTTAAATCATAATATTTTCGGTCTTAAAAAATGAATTTGATAAAATTAACAAATTAATATATAAGGCATTTTCCTATAAAATCTCAATTAATTATTCTACTTTTATGTCAAAATCAATTTCTTTCTAAAAAATATTTTCTAAATCTTTTAGAATTCTCTCAAGTAAATATTATTAATTATCAAGTGATATTGCTTTAAATATTTCATATCTAATATTAGTAAGAGTGGATTTATCTGTATTATAATATTATAATTCATATTATAATGATGATCCAAACAATTCAACATATTTATCATTTTACATTTATAATTTATCATTAATTTTTTCTTTAATCTATTCATTTTATTAAGCATAAATTGGTTCATAAATAGATAATTTAACTTCTTTTTTTTAATTATAATTATCCATTATCTTAATTAATTTCACAACAACTCAATATAAATGTTTCAAAATCTTTATAATTATAAGTACAAAATGTTTTAAGTATACTCTTCATTTCATTCACTTAGTAAAATGTTTAAGAATAAAATATTGTTTAAAATAATTTATGCAATCCTTTTTATAATTATGCAGGTAATTAATTCCCAAAAATGCTTTGAACACATTATATTAAATCATTATCAGTTTAAGCTATTGTACAAATTAAAAAAGTAGAATTTTTATTTTATTTAAGATGAGGTAGGATTTCAATATAATACTAAACAATATCATTGATTCCCTATTCTTAAAATAGAAAAGCATAAATCTAGATATACGCTATATCAACCTTTTAAAGGGATACTTCATCATCTAAATTCTTCAAAAGGTCTTATTTCCCGAAGTAGTATTCATAATCTGAAAAAATCTTATAATTAAAAATGGCCCTTTTTAAGATAGAACTCATAACTAATCTTAACTATTAATCTGTTTATCCACTAATCTGTAGAATATTATCATATGCTTCTTTAGAATTTGAAAAATTCATTAAGTATATTGATAACACAATTATGAAATTTCTATCGCTTAACACTATATTAGAAATGATTAATTGCTGTTGAGATTAATATTTTAAATTGAATACAGTTACTAAACTATTAAGGAAATAATGTAAGATTATTCTAAATATATTTTAAACTTCATTTGAACTTAAATGACCAATAGCCAATATCATGGATTTTAAATCGCATCTAAATGAGGATAAATTTTATAATAAAAGAATTAATAAGCAATTTAATGATATTTCACTCTCTTTCCCTATTTGTGATTCGAAATTTAAATTCTTCTTTTGCTCACATGGAATTCTCCTAGTTAATGTATAAATTAATAAAGATTAATTTAATAATTTCTAAAACACTTGTTAATTTGGATTTAATATTTGAGATTAAAAGGAATGAACATCTATTGAAAGAATTTCATAAATCTAATTAACTAATCCTTAAAGACTTGATTTGCATTTCCTCATTAATTCTAAAAAATAACAAATACTATTAGATATTACTAAAGAAGGTAAGTTTGTTAATGGACTAAATTATTTATAATTTTTACATTTTTAAGAACAGATTATAGATATTATCAAATAGATTATAGCATATTGGATTTCTGATATTTTAGTATAACTTTAGAATTTCAATGTAGCCTCTCGAAATAAAACTATAAAACATTTCTGCAACTTTACTCTTTATTATTTTATTCTCAAATATAGTTTATTTTATTTAGCTACATGCAAGTATTTGTTTGATTAAAACAGCTAATTTTTAATCCTTACTTTCCTAATATATTTAAAAATAGAATTTTTCATTATTAGTGTTAATTAGTTTGTAGGATTAAATGAAAAGATAGAATTGTGAAAAGTTTTAGATCACAACTTTAACAAGATAGGCTCGAAATTCATCCTCTTCAAAGAAAAGAGGAAAAAATTTTGAAATATCCTAATCAAATTAGAGTGATCCAACTAAATATGCACTTTATTTAAGATATTATTCCAAAAGTGAAGTTGATCCAGTCTCTTTATCATTTATTTTACATTAAATTTCTTACTTTAAAATTTTAGCTGTTAATTAACTCAAGAATATATTATCAGTTGTTATAATTTCTAAGCATCTCAATATTAATTTATGAAATTATTTTGCTTATTTCATAGAATCCTAAATAAATTAGAAATGATTTCTATTAGAATAATAATAATTCTTTAAAATATCATTGTTAAAATTTTCTATTATTTTTTCTATATTCTCTAATAGATCAGCAGGATAATCAACAATTTATTCTAATTTCTTCTATAATAATCCAAAAGAAATCATTAAAAATTATTCATAATTTTTAATAATTCTATCATCTAATATCTATAATTTTATTTACAACCTTACTAATCAATCTTAAACGTTATGGAAAAATGATAATGTTTAGAATACATTGAATTGATATCAAAAATCATAGTATCACCACAATCGCAAAATCCTGGCATTTTAGATTGATTTTACTTAAAAAAGACAGCATGATCTAAAATAATAATTTTAAATTAACTTTTATGAATTTCAGGAATGAAACACTCTTTACAAATGGCATGGCTAGGATCTTTGCAACAATCAAAACATTAGTAAAACATTTCTGATTTTTCAATAGATTTTGCACATAATTATTTTGATCCATAACCTTTGAATTTAACTATTGTATTCTGATATTCTTCTTAAGTGATTTTAAAAATGGCTAATATTAATTCTTTATCCTCATAATCATCAATATCATTTGAAACTTTTAAAATACTATCTTCTGTACTTAAAATTTACATTTTTATATTTATATTTAATTATTAATAAAACATTTATAGAAGAACATAAAATATCATTTAAAAGTTGTAGAATATCCTTAATTTATTTTCAATAACATATATAATAAACTTTATATTAAAATTATCTAATTATATATGTATTACTAATTAAGGTAATCATCATGAATAATTTATTATGACATTATTTAAATTCTGAATAATATTTATATCTTAATAACAATTATATTCGAAATACTTTTACTATTAGATGGCCATTTATTTAAATAATTATTCTTTATTTAATTATTCGGCTCCTTATAAATATTACCATTAACTATTTTAGATATGTAAAACTTCTTGTCCTTTTAATCCAATTATATCATCATAAATAATAAAATTTTAATTGAATTTACCCAAATCTGAAAGATATTATTATTGTTCAGAGTCACTTTTCATCAATTATTATTAAATGTAAACATATTTCTAAAATAATGCAAATAGTTAAGGATCAAAATCTTAAGTATCTAAACAAAATGGTATCCAAGATTTATAGATTTGATTAATTTATTGTCTGTTTTGAGTAAAAAATGCTAAATCAGATCTATATCTTTAACACTATAAAATAATTGAATTATCTTATTCTTATTCTAAATAATTAGATAATTCTTTATAAATTAATTCTAAATTTACAATCTAATTATTTCTGAAAAATAATGTAAAAATAGAATGTAATTTTTATAATAATATAGATCTAGATTTATTTGAGTTGATTTTAATAATGAATTACCAAATTTTTGAAATTCTTTCTTTAGATTAATCGAAATTATTTAATTTTGTTAAAATTGCTATTATAATTAATTCTATCTAAATATAATAATATTAATTATCAATATCTACTAATTTTAGAGCTATCAATGCAAATTCCATAGATTTTTCAAATTCTTTTATAGAAAAGCAATATTAAGAATAATGAAAATAAAGTTCCCAAAAATAATTTGACTTCTGAAAATGATGTTCATAATATAAAATTGCTGTTTCAAATAAATTAATTATTTTCTATTTATCATCACTCATATCAATACGTCTAATTAATTACTATATGAAAATCTTAATTCCATAAATGTCAGCTCCTCTTTATTCTAATTATTCTATCATTTCTTTAACACTATTCACATGATCAATACCTTTCCAATTACATAATTCAATCCATCTTTGTTATTTTGTTGAAGAAAAAGTAAATACTTAGTTCTCTTGCTTAACTATTTCTTGTATTTTATGATCCTTTGGAGTATAATAATGCTTAATTATTGAACTTTTGTACAACCAAGATAAATTGCCAAGAGTTAAAAACAACCAGTTCTCTTTGTAGTCTACATAATTCTAAGATTCATTAACCCAGTATTCAAATTGATCTGCTACTTCCAACCATATTCTACCTCTTATAGCTTTGATAATTTAAAGCTAGATGAATGTCACGTCGTCCATATTTTATTCATCATCGATTAAATTGATAATTAATTAATCAGCCAATTGATATTCTTCTTAAAACATTAAAATTGATAATTCCTATAGTTTTAATTTAAATTAATGTTCTTATGAAAATTATTAATATTACTAACAAAGTTTTAATTATTGATTTATATTACCTAGTCTAAACCAATATTCGGAAACTATTTCATATTATTCAAAAGTTGTTTTTGAAGTAATTTGAGGTATTTATATACTTGATTAAACAGTAAAGTATGGGTCCATTAATTCAATATACATCTTCAAATCATCATAATTTTTCGCTTCATTTTTTATGAAATTTTGATAAGCTAATGTTTCTGTTCTATAGTTAAAGTGGAATAAATTAAAGAGAATAGGAATAATGTTTTCCTTTTTAGTACTGATTTATCTTAGTATAATTTTAATTTAATTAAATCTTTCATCATAAAATTATTGTTAAAGAGGAATTTTTGTAACACTTCTTTCTAAATATGATTATAATTCAGATTAATTTTTATTAAGGATTTAGAATTCATAAGGTAATTATTTGTAAGTATTTTAAACATCTAACATATTTTATAATTAATAAAGTGTACTATCTTGTTTATATATTTTCAACATAGTTAGAATAAAAGCATAAATATCATTTTCAAATAGATCCATCTTCGATTTACTAAAATTATTACCCAATACTTAAACCCGATGTTTTTATGGTAAGTATTAAGTAGTTCCTTCAATTTAAAAAACACCAAATGACTTTTCATATTTTAGAGCACATCCAAAATCTCCAATAACCCATCCTTTATTGATAATATACATAATATTAGATGGTTTAATATCTCTATGTGCTATTTTTAAAGAGTGCATTTTAATTATTGATTTCAAAATTTAATGATAAATGCTTTGAAATTCTTCATATTCTATTTTAACTTATTTAGAATATACATCCAAAGTTGTTAATGCAATTTCTAAACCAGCGTAAGAAATAAAAGTGTTAATATTTTCTTATAAAATAATAACTTTATCTATCAATTATACAAAATTCATAGGAAATATTTTATTTAAAATCTGCTATATCTTATACTCATTTAATTGTTATATAAACTCTTCAATATTATCAATTTTTTATACTTTTACGACACAAGGAATACCAAAAGTATTTTCAGCATAAAAGACTTATCCATAACCTCCTGAACCAGCAAAATCATGTTAAATTTCTTATCTATTATTTTAATATTATTTAATCATTATTGACATGTGAAAAGGAGCTCGTTAAGCTATCTAAAATATTTCAATATGATTTTTCATTATTTAAATAGTTTTTCTATAATTTAAACTTTCCAAAACAGATAATTATTGATCATTAAAACAATTATAACCAATAGTTGACTTTTCAGATTTTTCTGAATTCTCCATTAATTGATTTGAATTCATATTTTTAAAATATTAATCACAATTTAGATTATAAATATTCAATTAAATATATAATCTAAATAGATAATAAATATATTGTTGAATATTAGAAGTTTTTCTAAAATTTTATAATAATGCTTTCAAATTCTAAGTGTGAAAAAACATACCAGATAAAAAATATTAATAAATTTTTGTATTTCACTCAATTAAAAAAATATGAAATTTCTTAATACATATTTTTATGTTTCAATGATATATCTACAATTAAAAATTAATCAAAAATTATAGATAATTATAATTGAGAAAGAAATTAAAATAATCATTTAATATTATGATGTTCATTTATGTTATAAATTATCATACGTGATCTATATATATAATACACTTATATATAAATATATTAGATTATAATTAATCATTGTTCATTCATCAATTTTAAATATAAATGTAGAATTATATTAAGAAATACTTTGAATAACTTGAATTAGGAATTGTAGTCATATTTGGATAAATGAAATATTTATACTTAATTCTATAAAAATAAAATAATAAAAATTCATGTATTTACTTTATGACTCATTCTAATTTCTAAAAATATTTATAAATACTTTATTGATAAAGATAATTTATATTTTTAAATTAAAGTTACTAATCTAAAAACTGATATTAATAGAATATGCAAGAATTGACTGAAAATTCTTAGATTATCAAAAAATATTCAAAAAGCAATAACTTATTTATTCTAAACACTCTATTATCTTTTGTAATTCTTTTATTGATTCTAGAATTAATCGTTTATATTTTGATCATTTTTCAATAATTCATTTAAAGTTTATAATATTTTAGAATTAAAAAAATAATATTAATTAAAATATTATTTGCAATCAGATAAATTACAATAATTTTCTATCTATATTATCCAACAAATCTATATGTTGAAATTAAATTTAAAAATTATTATTCTTTAATTATATAATTATATTATAATTTCATCTAAATATATTACTTATAGCTCTTTATTATTGAAGTAAAGATTTTCTTAACATAATAATGCTGGCACAAGATACATTACTAAAATTAATCTTATAAACAATATCAATTATTTCAAAGCTTTTTTATATAGTTATTCTAATGTAAAATTTGCATTTGAATATCCATCCTTAATTGTTCATACCATTGATTAATAATATTCAGAATTTTCGAAATAATATAAACCTATTCTTGCCAAAATTATTAAAACAATTTATCAGAACTTAAGTGTAGTTTTTGGGGTATTTAATAATTTTACAATTATAAAATTCTTATGGGAGTAGTTACATTTCATTTTTATATGATTCACAATATATAATGCCACATTGAGGACATTTTCTTATCTCCTCATATTAAAAAAGAAGAGTTTAAGTTAACATTTCTTGCATTTTTAGGATATTTTTCCTTAATTTATTATCTACAACATATGCATTATTTAATAAATTTCATAGATCAATTATTGCAAGTGAATTTGAAAACAATTATATGATTATCTTTTTCATCCAAACAAAAATTTTATTATCATATTACAGCCAATCAAGTATATATATAAAAAATAACCATAAAAATCAGATCTAGAATCTTAATAGCTTGATTTTTTATTAACTTATGAATATAATGAATAGTGAAGGAAAACAAGATTTGATGAAAAAATTAATTGAATTTTTATTACAATAAGCAATGGATAAAAATGCTAAGTAAATAATAGTTTTTTAATTTAAGGAAAAACAATGAGCCAGTGCCTAAATAATTTCTCACTAATAAATTAGTTGAATATTATAAGGTTTTAATAAAATCTTAGTAGCTCTAAAAGTAATGTAAATTTTATTTCTTAAATTAAGATGCTGAATTATTGTAAAAAGAAAAATATAAGGAAACATTAGACCTAATCAATAAAGCAAATTTAAATGCAATAGAAGAAAATTTTGAAATTTTATTAATAAAATGATATGATAATCTTAACCTAAATGATCCAATAAAATATTAATAGATATATTTTTAATAATGGGGTTCATAAAGGATCTTTATGATCACCTTTTATCTTTGAAATATATTTCAATTAATTAATTTAAGTAGAATTATATAAAAAATTATATAAATTTATAATTGAATATTTTTAAAGATAATTACATGCTTATTCAAATCACTTGGCGATCATCTGTATATCTGTATGTAAAAAATCTTGAATGAAGTATCTTCATTATCTTGAACACTTAAAGTAAATCTTGAAAAAATCATATATTCAACCTTTTCAAGAGAATTTCCCTCAAAATTTTTTAATCTAAATAAATATTAGAATTCCTGATATTTCATAATTTAATTATATTAAAAATAATTATATTATTTAATAGATTAATAGAAACCATTTTAGACATAGGACATAATTTTGGAATGCTTACATTAGACCTGATTTCTAATACATATCCCTAATTAATGTTAAAATTGGTCATTTCAATCCTTGAAGAGTAATCATTTTAGACTCTTATGAATAATACCTTTTATAAAGTTGGATCAATTTAGCTTTCGGAAAAGTGGTGGAAGTTAAATTGTGTAAAAAATAATATTAAGAAAATGGCTATTTTTCTCAAATAAATTAATTAACATAATTTCAATAAAGATGACTATTCCCCTTAAAAATACAAAGAAACTAAACAAAATCTAATTAAGAGATCCTTATCTCAGAAATACTATTCATAAATATATTCAAGTTTTCAAGACCTATTGGTTATGTATCATTTAAAATAAAAGGATTCTGAATAAAAAGCCTTAAAAGTTTAAGCCTGCTATTGATTATATGGAGCCATATTGCACAATCTAATTATGCAGACATCTGCAAATTCTTTATCAGTAACTACTCCTTATAATTAATCCATCATGATTAATTTTAAGGATTGAAAGTCTTTATCACTTAGCTTCCTAATTAAATTTTTAAATCTTGCTGATCTACAGTATCTATTACATTGAAATATTTATTTCGAAAATAATTTTGATCCAATAAAATATTCTTGTGAGTTTCTATGATTAGTCTCGAAAAGATATTAACAAATTCTTCTCTTTAGACCATATGACTTATTTTTTCAACATTTACTTACCATACGTATATATATAGTCTTCTCCATAATTTAAATATTCATTGATTTAAGAAAAGTTAAGTTTAATAAAAAAATTAATACCTTTTATTGACAACTAGATTATTAATATAACCTATTATTTTTGATTTAACTCTGTTTTAGTCTGGACTATTGATCATTCATATCTTTCTTCTGTAACAACAATTAGTTAAGGAGATTATTAATTTAAGACTGATGATATTGTTTCTTATTATATTATTAACTGTGAGAGTTAACGATTCTATAATTCTAATACATTGACTCCAAATATTATTTTTTATCATTTTTATTCTCAATCTATGTCTTTCATCTCTTTGGCTCAGTATATTATTATTTAATTATTAGTGCCACTAATATTGTCTTCCCAAGTATTTTTAGTTAATGATTATATTTAATCCATCTAAATGTTTTTAATAAGTTTAAATTTCCAGTTTTCTAAAGGCAAAAGCTGAGTATCAATCTAGCTTCATTAGCTTCCCTTAGACAATTTAGCTGTTACATTTATAGATTAATTTACAAAATATTTACAGTCCAGTTAATTAATTGAATAGATCCTCTTCCATAGTCTCTTCCATAGTCTCCTAAAACATATACCTAATTTGGTCAAAAAAATTCATTTGTTCTTTAAAGTTTTATTAGCCATAACTTTAATTCTTATTATGTAGGTAAATTTATTGAGATCATCGATGTTCACTATACTGAGTTAATCAGAAATATTATTTAGCCATTACTCTTGGCTTAATTCTTCAAGATCATGGTACTAAACTAATAATTCTATTTCCATAAGTTTACATCCTTTACTCAATCAATGAGAGGAAAATAATTCAATTTAAGGGTGCTAAGACTTTCCGCGTAACCTGTTTTTTTACAATAAATGCTATTGGAATCTCTGGTAGGACTTCTTTTAAACAAAAAATCTTAACAAATTACCATTATACCTATTCCTACATATTAATTATTGCTAAAAAAAATAGAACAAAATTAAAAATTTCTAATTTTTAAATTTTTAAATTTTTATAAGAATTTCCTTATTAATTAAGTTAATATATTCAACCTAATTTATATCTTAAAATAATACTTTCTGAAAATTAATTTGATTCAAATTTATGTTCAATGTATATTTCCATTAATAATTTGTTTTATCCTTAAATACATTATATGAAATTATTAATATAAATTTTTGATATCATTATAAAAAGTTTATATAATTGAAATTATAAATAAAGTATTTCATTAACGTATAGTTTTTTTAAAAGATTTATTTAATGATCAATTTATTGGAATAAGGATTTAAAGAGTCATTTAATTTTTTAATTTCTTCATAAGTGGAAAAATTCTATAACTTTTATTTTAGCAATGACAATAATAATTAAATAACTTAACCTAAATCTAATGAAACAGACCCTCTAATATGATTAAAAGACTGGAGAATATATAAATTAAAATTATAATCCGTTACTTTTTCTGTTATTTGATTTGTAAAAAACCAAACCATTAACAATTTTAATAGCTATGAATACAATAATCTTATATAAAGTTTTCTATTGATAACTAAATATTTTCAAAGCTACTTCTTAATTCTAATTAAATATAAGTCATTTATTTTTATCATCAATTTTAAATAACTGATAAAATGTTATAAATACAATGAATTATTAAACATAAATAATATCTTGATTATTAACGTGTTATAATTCAACCTTGTAACAGTAATATTAAATTACAAGTAATGGTTAAAATTTTGAAATAAAAATATTGAAAAAATACTATAATTTAATAATTTTAGTGATTAAGAAATACTTAGCACAATCTATATATTTATAAACAACTTTAATGATAAAGAATGTGTAGATAAGTAAAAATAAATTTCATTTGGAATTCTTTTACTAAATTTCAAATCCAATATTTATATCTAAAAATAAAAAGTACAAAATTTCATTCATTATTTTAAATGATAATAATTTTCTTTTTAATCAATGTGATCAACATGTCATCTGATTTTTAATACACAAAAAACCAAGAAATATCATTATTCCCAACAGAAGGGGAAATTTATAGATACTATTTGGAAAATTTTATGAGTTCTGAATATTTAATGTGCAAAATTGATACTAAAGTTCCTTATGTTTAATTATTGAATATATACGAAGAAATATATCAAATATAAGGGGATTGTAAAATATTAAGATTATTATTATAGAATTTATATCAATGTCATAAAATGAAACACATTTTTGTACATTATCAAATGAAAATGTAATAATTATTTATGAGTGGAATAATTAAATGATTCAATAAGTTGGCTCACCTGTAATCATTGATTCTTCATTTAATTGTTTTAACATTAATTTGTTTGAAAATTTTTCAATTTTGGTTGATTGTTATTAAAATAATGAATTCTTTTTCATTCAATTAATGAATGAATAACCAAAAATTGCTTATTCAATACCATCATCTATACCTACTTAAACTAAAATGTAATCAATTATAAATGAAACAAATGCTTTTATAGTATATGCCTAATATTTTGAGGATTATTCAATACTTACACTATTTTCATCATCATTTTTAAATTAAAGTAGCTTAAATTAATAATTTGTTGATTTTGATATACCAAATAAAATAAGTCCGAACATTTATTTAATAACTATCTAAGAGATATTCATGTTATCTATATCTTCAGATTCTCATTTTATTTTAATAAGTAACCTTAGCTAAGATAATATGTGTCAGTATTGCGATTACTAGATCACTAATTTTACAAATATTATTGTTTTTTACGATTTATGGACTTATTCTTAATGTGATCAAATATAATTATTATATTATTAACCTTATTAGGAGGTGTGTATTTATTATTTAATAGCATGTAAAAATATTATAATTTTTGAAAAAAATGATTGTTCAATTTAATAAGATTCAATTTTGAATATATTTTAAAATAACTAATTTATAATATATTAATTTGCTAATACAATAGTCATTTCAGAAAAATAGTCAAATTAGATGATTTCAAATTATCTATAGCATTAAAGTAATTCACTTTTATATTTCAATTATGATAATGAATTATTTATATTTAATAAAGATATCACAGCTTATAAAATTTAAATCCCTTCTTTATAAGTTAACTTAACAAATTTATAAATTGCAGGTGATAATTTCACTTTTTCACTTATATGTCACAATTAGGGATAAAAAAGTAACTATTATGGTAAAATTAATCTTTAAGTATTATCTTAGAATGATACAAATATTTATGTAATGTTTAATTAAGATTTCCCTCAATATTAAACTTCAATTACTATTCCAGTTACAAATAATTTTTTTAGTTTTTCTGGGTAATTATTATAATATAAACTAAATTCAAATGAAATACCTTTGAATTTTTCATTAATTGCCTCACAAAAAGCTGGTTAAATTAATTAGAGTTATTTATTAATATAATCTTTGTCAATAATCTAAAAGAATGAATCGATTGTTTAATATTTGATAGGATATAACAATTATTCAATTGATGTTTTGGAATGTTAATCTGTAAATATAGATTATATCTACTAATTCACTAAATAAAGTTCAATTAAAATCTCTGTAAATGCAAATGCTTTATAAATTGCCTATAGTATTTATCCTAAGATGATAATAATTGGACTCAGTACTAATGATATAATCTATATATTTTATTACTATATTGATAACAGTAGTATGATTAGTTATTCAAATTATACTTTTGAATAATAATTCTCAGATTTTGTAGTAACATATAATAATATTATAATTCTAATTCTAAATTAAGAAATAAAAATAATGACATTTGATTTTATCAATATTTTTACTTTAAATTAGTAATCAATAAATAAACTTTTCGATAAGATTAATTTCAATCCTATATAAATTATTATGAATACTTAACTATAATCATCTTTATTATATATTAATAATATTAATGAAGTCATTATATTTTCAATTGATTAAAATAGTTTTCCAATACCAATATCCTTAATAAAAGTTAATTTTATAATAAAATAGATAAACTTAATAAATGTTCAATTAATTATATCATATCTATGTAATAATGATCAAAATATTTGCTTTTAAGTTTGGAATGTATAATATTTACCAAAATACAATTATGTAAAGAATCTTTAAAGTGTAAATATTGATAATAAAGTAATAATATAATCTGACAACATGTTTTTATATGTTACTTTTAGTAATTAAACAGTTTATGTTTATAATCCTTCCTTAACATATCATTAGAGTTTATATTATTTATTAGAATTAACTTCGCCAATTTAATGTACTTAGGCAATTCAAACCTTTTATTATTATGTGCCTCAATTCTAATATTAAAAATCGATAATAATTCTTAAGGACAATACTATTTATTAGCTTTCTAGAATGCAAGAATTTCAAATTTCTGCTGAATATAAAAATGAAGATTTTAATAATTCAATAAGATATCCATAATTTATTTATAATTATTCTGTAACTTCAGCATTAAATAAAACAGCCTTTTATTGGACTCCTAATTAAAGTATTACTTTATATTCAAATTACACAGTATTTTTGAATTAAAGAAATTTATCAATAAATTTAAATTTAGATAATATAATTGCTTATACTAGATATTTTTCATTTCCAATAAATTTAATTCTTGATAGATAAGTGGGATATTGTGGATCAACTAATCTTACTTAAACATATGATTTAAATAAAGATTGTAATTTAACTTAATTGTATTATCGTAATTCTAGAAGCATTCTTAATGATAACAATTTCTCATTAATTACTTAAATAAATAATGAATTTTTTGCTTTTCAGAATAACTCTTATATTTAAACTCTAAGTAGTGATTTTAATAATCTATCAAATTTAAGTTATTAATATTTAAATTTAAGTATTTGTTTAAAATCAACTTCATATAAATATACATTATATTCAATTTGTTAAAATACTACTTCATAATATTTGCTTAATTTTACTTTAAATTTTGAAGGAAATATTATTATAAATTTAGTTACATAGCTTCCATAATAGTTCCACAATATTTCCAAAATAAATACCATTTTAAACTAAATTTTTATTTTAGGCTTTATTGATGGTTCAAATTAATTGTATTAGTTTAATTAATCTAATAACATCTTATATTCTATAAATAATACTGTATCAGATTTTTCTATTACATTAATGCCAAAAAGGTTTGAAGATGATTAACTCCAATAAATAATTATTTTCTATATTTTTATTTAAACTATAGAATATAAAATAATGTCTATTGGTGATTAATTCGTCTAATTTCAAAATTAAGGTTAAGTTTCGCTTTACTTTTGCGATGAAGACAATGGCTGCTATTAACCTCTAATACAATTTTATTTGATTTATGTTATGTAAACATCCCAATAAAAAGTAATGATCCTTCTGAGTGATAGTTATTTTAGTTATATTGTAGTACTAATATTAAAATAAATTATAAGTTAAAATGGAAATTTTTATAATGGTAGAATTATTAGAACTATTCCAAATTTATATAATTTAACTAATACTGGAAATTCTTTTTATTAGTATGGAGTTTTGATGCAACAATTTTAATCTAATAACAAAACCATTGTTGGAACTTATTATATCGAAGATTTTTTAGATAATAATATAATGGAACCAATTCTTATGTAAGGTTCATTTAGTACTACTGTGCCTGATTATGCAATAATTGTTGATTAATAATATCGAAATGGTACATCCTTATACATTTATAACTAATCTATAAACAATTACTCAATAGGTACATGGAATGTTACATGTTTTATGAATAGATATACCTAAAAATCAGTTAATGTTTCAATATTTTGTAAAAATGAATTTTCAAATGGTAATTATAGCATTACATTTATAACACCTACAATGGCTAGTTCTAAGAAAAATTGGATATATACTCTGATTTCAATGATTGGATTGCTATTATTGTATTTTTACATTAAAGTTAAATAACAGAAAAAGTATTTAGATTATAATGAATAAGAAATTGAGTTATGATTTATTCAATAAAACAAAATTTATAAACAATCAATTTTATTTATATATATTTTTCTTATTTAATATCTAAACCTAGATTACTTTATTGTATATGTAAAATATTAATTATCAATATAAAATATATATTCTATATCACATTTATTAAATTTCATTACCATTAAAATTTTGATCCCATGATAATGTTGTTCAGTATCAAAATAAGTCTAATAATTATAATATTGATAATCTTCTTATAATCTTAGATAACAAATACAAGATAAACAATGATTAAGAAGAATAGTACAATGTTGAATCATAATTAAATCAATATGGATAGATTAATTATCTATAATTGACTAATAACTAAGTTCACTTAAACATATATATTTTTTGTACATAAACATTTTTTGGCTTTCAAACCTTAAGTATTTATTATTGTAATAAAGTAATTCAATCACTCTTATATGAATCAGTTCAGAAATATCATAGTGAATTTTTATTTGCACTACCCTTTTTCAACCCTTATAAACTAAGTATGCAATTAAATCCCAAAAATCTGATTAATTGAAATGAAATTCTGAAATTTAAATTATCTTCTTGTATGTGATGATCTACATTAAATGTATGTGGTTTTGAATCAATCAAGTTTATTTCTTTTTATTATTCAAAAATATCATTATATTTTAATTTAAAATTTAGATAGTTATTGATGACAGATTAAATTATATCACAATTTATTAAAAGATGAAAAGCATTTTATCCTATACCATTATCCTTTGATTGATTGAAAAAGTGTGAAAACATTTTTTTTAATTTTAAATCTTCTTGATTGTACACAAATTTTCGCTCCCTCTATTGATATTGGAATGAACAAATTGGAATTTAAGATAAAAAATTATGTTTAAAACATCTTTGTAATAAAATTTAAAATTAATGCTAATTATTATTTCTGTTATTTTTTGAAAATAGGAAGGGTCATAATTAAAATAAAATTAAAAATTAAATTATAATGCCAACTATTTCTTCTAGAAATCTTTTATGATTAATAAAATTTAGTTATTTTATCAAATTTGTATTTTAATAATGCCATAAGTTAAATATCCAAGCTTTTTAAACATTAAATCCCCCAATCAACCTTAATTATATTATTATGTGTAAAGTCTAATTATGAGCATAATCTCTCTTTTACATTTATCTATATTACTTTCTACATTTAATACATAAAATTCTTAAAAAAACTAATCTGGAAAATGTACTTTTATTATGTACTTGCTTACTCAATTGATAATTTTTGTTTTTTTCTTGATTTAATATGGCATCAATACGATAATTGTAATACTTGAATTATAGGTTTTTAAGATAGTCAAATACCCAAAAATAAATTTTTAATGTATTTACTTAATATTTTTTTCATTATTTTAGCCTAATTGATCTCTATATAATTAATTAAATTGAGGAATTAGCGAAGAAGGGTTTAAATATGTTTAGCTTCAATAAATAAAAATTGTGAGATTAATATTTTGCAAGAAGTTGATCGAATTATCATAAAAATTCTCATAGTAAAGATTATTTTTCAAGAGATATAATAAATTTATTAAGTTTACTTGCCTAAAATTATTTGTATTATAAATCTAATTGATCATTTTCTTTTTTAAATCAAAGTTTAATTTTTAATCAATCTCAATTTTCTTCGTCAATCTTAAGAACAGTCATTAAGACTTTAATGTGAAAGAAAAAAAACTGGCTAAATATAAATTTCATTTCATCAAAATATAAACAATTTTCTCAATTTTATGATTCTTTAATCTTATTCATGTTTAAAAGTTGTAATATATAGATTACATGTGTAAGGAAACCAACTAAATTTTGTTAATGAACTAAAAATGAATAAATCTAATATTGAGATACATAAATATTAATATTATATTTATATTCTAAAATGGCTCTAATCAAAGTAATCTAAATAATTAAGTTAAAAAAATATCCTAAAGATGAATTCTCTTCTTTAATTAAAATTTCATCATTTTCAATCACTTTCTGTTAATTTTAAATGCAAGACTTCATTCAAGCACTAAAAATAATAATTCATAGAAAGCAATTAAAATAATGTTTAACAAACTTTATTCACTGTAAGATACATTTTTTATTCATTTGGTATCATTTTAGGAAATTCATAATTCTACCCTATAATATTTAATTTATTTACTAAAAAATAAAGTAATGGCTAATATTATTATGTTGAATAAAATCTGTTGATCCTTTAAATTTTAGTTATGGAGATATTTCTTATGCTTTTTTGAATATCATTATTGCTTCTTAGTGCAATTCTTAGGATGATATTTTTGTAATAGAGCATGCAATCATTTAATGATATACCTATTAATAATAGTTACCTTTATTAAAATAGGATTCTACATAATTAGAGTTGATTGCAATAACCTTATCAAAGCTTTCGATGGCTTCTTCAAATAAAGATAATCTATTTATCTTAATATAAATAGAATATAACTTATAACAGAACATGTTATATTAAGATACTCTAACCTTTGTTTAAATAGGCTTTATTATAATTTGAATTTAATTTAAGAGCTTTCTTAAATTATTCACCTGCTTAATCATATTGGAAAAAATTAAGTATTTTAGTAGATCAAACGAAGATTTCTAATAAAAGACCTAAATTTTATTAATAGAATAAACCGTTATTAAGAAAAAATACTTTTAATTTTTTTAATTTATTTGTAAGGCTTAATCAAAAATTTGAATAGCTGTCTCAGTTTAATTAATTTTTTAACTAAATTATTATAATATAATGTAAGCCCTTAAATTGAATCTTTAAACACCTTTTTTGTTTAAAGTGATATCATTTTTATGATTAATTTGAATGCTCCAAAGCTTCTACATAACGATCTAGTTTTCTTTGAATTAACTTAAAATTGTTACGAATTATAATAAAGAGCCTAATCATTATTAATAATAGAACCTGTATTTTTACTTGCTTGATCTGAATGAGGATTTAATTTAATTGCCTTCTCATAAAATTTTAGAGATTGATCTTACTTATTTGATTTTTCCAATTCATAGCCAAATAATAATAATAATAAATACCTTTATTGAGAAACGCTTTCCAATTATTAGGATCAAGAAAAATTGCTAGAATAAAACTATTTATTGCTTCTTCATATCTCTCTTGCTTAGTTAATAATATAAAATTATTTATTTATCATTTATAATTATAAACCTAACTTATACATACAATACCTTTCTGAAAATATTCATTAGTGCTTTGTTGATTTTCTAATTGTTTCTGCTAAATATTAATTTTATTTTAATCATCATCATTCCTATCTTAATTCTACTTAATGAAGCTCCATTTTACTATTTTCATCATGATATTATTCTTTATTGATTAAAATTTCGAGTTAATCTAAATAATAGATAGATACTTTTATTTACTTTTATCATTGATTTCTTATCACACATTAATGAGTAATATGAATTTTTCATGCTTACTCTTCACTTATGTTTAAAATAACTTGAATAAATTTCAAGGTTAATTAATGAATATAAAAAATTCCAATAGATATCAGAAATCCCCATCTAAAGAAGCCTTAAACTATTTTGATTTTATTAAATGTGTTAATTAATCAAAAATGATTGAGATCTTGAAGCTATCGAATGAAGGTCTTAAAATTTAAAATAATGTTGAGATATTTTTATTTTTATAGATACTAAAAATGTAAAATTTATTAAAATATACATATCAGAGATTAATAAAAACTCAAATTAAATTGAATCATAGCAATTGATAAATTAAAAGGCGACTAAAGATCCTTGATAAATTTTAACTTTCACAACACTAAGGTGCTGATAACTATTAGAGTATTATATGATAAATTGTGAATTTAAAAAAATCAATAGCATTTAAACAAAGATATAACCTATCTTTGTTTAATTATTCAAAATCAAACTAAACTAAACGTTTGTTAACCAAAAGAATAAATCCTAAATAAATAGTTTTAGATGTCCAATATGTTAACAATTCTAGAAAATTTAATAATTTATTTAAAAATCAATTTGTAATTAAATGATATAAGATATAAAAATGATAATTTAGAGCTAAATTCCAGATTTTGAGTAAGCAAATTATTAGCATAAAAAAAAATAGTAATTTAATTTATATTTATCTGTAATATGTAAGTGTGTAAATTTCTTATAATTTTAATAAAACAATTTTAGATATTTTTATTATTCAAACAATTATTTTTTTATTTTAAATATATATATTTATTATTTTTATTTTTTGTTTCCTTTAATTATGGATATCATTTAGTAATAATAAATTTGAAATTTTATTAACATGAATTAGTTTGGATATGGGTTATTTTTTATTAATGTTAAATTTTTCATTCAAACCATATTGCCAATAATAAATGCATGTATATGAACGGTGACTTTATAATAGAACAGTCTAGATAATTAAATAGTTGTAATATTTTAGGATAGTTATCTGATCACTTGGGATTATTGATCAAAGGAAATAAAAATAAAATAGTGTAAGGAATTATGAAATTTACATAATGTAAACAATAGAATTTTAATTAATTTAATTTTTGGTTTATCTTATATCAAATATTTGTATAATATAAATAATTGACATTATATTAGATCAATCTGAAATTTAGAATGGAATCGTTGTCATTAAGGATCATGCCAATCCTATAATTAATATCTCAAGTAAATAAAATTTCTAAATGATTTCTTACTTAATGAATCATAAATAAAATATATATAGATAATATAATGTAAATTAATTTATTTAAATGTTCTAATAATAATAAGGCATGATTATAATAATCCAAAATCAAAGTTTATTATTATTCTTCTAGAAAAGATAAATATTTTAGGCTCTCAAATTCATTTAAATGTTGTAAGATTGCAAAATTTCTTATTAACAAAAATTTAAATGAAAATAACATAATTCTCTCATTATTATTTGTAATTAAATACTTAACTTAAAATGTCATCTGCATTTCACATTCATATAGGAGGGGCTGGAGTAATGATGGGTGATATGTTATGGAAATTGTATGAGAAAGAGCACAATGAGACAACACAAAAGAATTATATTTATGACTAAGTTGAATAAAATTATCATCCATTAGCACTATTTGCTGATGTAGATGACAGAATGATATATGAAGTTTAAAGAAATAAGTAAATCAAATTTAAGAAGCATTCATTTATTTATGGAAATGAGGACACATCGAATGTCTATTCAAGAGGAATTTATACTGTTGGAAAAGCCATAATTTGGGAGGGAATGGACTGTATTAGGAAATAAATAGAAACGATGGATCGATTAGATTAATTTCTTATAACAACATCAATAAGTGGAGGGACTGGGTCTGGATTTTCTTCTTTATTAATGAGCATGTTAAATGTTGATTATGGTAATAAAGTAAAAAAAACTGGATTTACACTGTTCCCATCCTCATAGATGTCGAATAATGTACTTGAAATTTATAATGCTATGTTTTCAATTTTTATGACAAGAGAGCATTTTGATAATATCATTATGTTTGACAATTAGTCAATGTACAATGTGATTGATTAACAGTTAGATTTAGATTATGTAGATTATTCCCATTTAAATAATGTGATTGCATAAATAATTAGTTCATATACAGGATTAAGAAGATTTAACAACATTGACAATTCCAAATTTTTTTAAAATATGTGTCCATATCCTGCTTTGCATTATTTCATTCCTTCATATGGGAGAATGAGTTTAATAAATGATTATACAAGAAAAAAATAAAATCAAACTGAATTCATAAAATATCTAACTTAAAAAGAGATTAAACTTTATTAATGTCCTAAAAGTCCTCAACATCTTTCGACAACCTTATTATTTAGATAGCAGGAAGAGAACAATTTTTATGGCAAATTCGATTTGACTCTTTAAAACTTAGAACATATTTATAAATAAAACCCTAGAGTTTTTCAATGTAATTCAGCTAATTATTAAATATTATCTGAACTAGCTGAAATGAAATAAACTGGAGTATTCTTCTCAAATGATGCATCAATTATTAGTAGATTTAAGTTGTTAGGAAAGAAGTTTGATTAAATTTATGCTAAACGAGCTTTTGTTTGGGTATACATTGCTGAAGGACTTGAAGAAAGGGAATTTAATGAAGGAAGATAGAATTTGGATTATTTAGAATAGACATACAGTGAAATTATTAATGCACCTGATTCTCAAAATCAGAGTAATCTTGATTATGAATTATGAGTAATACAATATATTTACAAAACAATATATTCTTGCTCTTCTATGATTTGAAAATACAAACTTAGTCGATAATTTAGATTCAAGAAAAAGAATCTTTCAATTAATAATAAAAATATTTTATAAATTTTTTCTATAATTTATATTTTTCAATAATCATATCAAATGATATATTAAATATATCTTTTGATATTGGCAGATATTATGATTAATTACCATCAAAGGTAATAATAAAGATCTAAGAATTTAGATGCCTTAAATTCTATTGAGAACTACCTTCAATAGTAATGGAAAAAAAAATGTTTGTTATAATCAATATGGCTATATTCTAAATTGATTATTAAAATGTAAATTTATATTAAATTTTTAACTTTTAGTTTTGTTAACATTGTAATTTTCAAAATTGATTTTCTATTTTTAATTATTACTGTTAAATGTTATATAAAAATATCTAAAAATTACTCAATTCCTACTTACAGCTAAGAACATATCATATTTATAAAGGTTATCTATTTTTCTAATTTTCTTTTTTCAACCATCATCAATGTAAAAGGTAATGATCATGCCTTAATACTTGATATGTAATTTCCTAACTTTCTTTGTCACTATTAAATGGTAACTAATTTAAATATAAATCTAAATTACATTCGACTGTCTTCTTTAATTTTTCAAGTATATTCCAATCATTATTTTATAAACTCATTATGATTATTTATAAATCATTAAATTTAATAAGAATTAAAAAAACTCACATCATCAATTCTTTTTTCAAATTATAAATAAGAAAATTTCCTGTTTATTATTGCTCTTGTTTTTTGGATATATCTACTGTCCATTTATACTAGAATAATAATATTATTTCTTATTTGAAACCTCCCCTTTAGTTGAAAATATTAAAAAATTCCAGTTTTTTTAAGTAAGTAGGGTGTGAATTAAAATAACTTGATATAATAATGATAATTATTTGAAATCAAAAATAATTTTAACTAAACTGCCTGTGACTTAATTAGTGCCCCCGTATATGCATGATTGATTAAGTAATAATATTTCCTAAGTTTAATAAAAATTCCGCAAAATGATATGTTCTAGAATAATGAATTATATCTTTCTATAGAACAAGAGTCCTAAAGAAACCAGAGATAAGCTCATAGCTTTTTTCATAAAGCTTATGTAAATAGCCTTTATAAAAAAATATGGAGGTTTCTAAAATTTCAAGACACTGACGGATTACACATCCTCTGACATCAAAGCATAGGAAAAGAGGTAGACACCTTAACTATAAGAAGCTAGGTATCCTAATATCTCAAAGTTCCTCCCAATTTCAAGCATCGAAAATAAGTTTGCATCTTTAAATTCCATTTCCAGTTTCCTTTAGGTTTCAAGGATCTTATTTATTTTTTCTAAAATAAAGGATAGAGTGAATTTAATTTTTTCCCTTTATAGGTGTTAATGAAACAGGAACAATAATAATTATCATGTTCCTCTAGTGGAGAAGAGCTTTGATTCAACGAGCTAACAATCAAATAACATGTAAGTGTTATTTTTTAAAAAGAAAACTCGACACGACACTTAATTACTCTTTAAAATTAACACATAGATAAATCTCACTTCTAAAAATTTTGTTAGGGAACTCTATATAGAGCTTTTTTCTATTTTTATATTTGTTTTAGCTTTTTACTTTGGAGTAACAAGAATGTATTGCAGTAAACAAAAATTATTTTCTAATATTACTTGTATTTATTTGTGGCTCTATACGATGCAATGTTAGGAGTTCATCATGTCCGCTAAGCCTTATTATCAAAGAATGCCAAATTTCACAGTATGAAAGACAGAAACATGTAAGACACCCATCTATGATAATTCTTACAAGTTATTTTGAAATATTTATTTTCTTATTAAAAAATTCTATTTTGGTCTTCAGGTTGAAATAGATAAAATGAAGAGTTAGCCACAACCGACTAAATTTTGCAAAATAATCCAGGGTTAGACTTTTATTTTATAGAAATTAACACTAGTACATAATCCATCTACTGAATCAATTTTAGCCTGGATCACTTTTATAAATTAGAATCAGCTAACTTTATAATATTATTCAATAAAAATTCAATTATTATTCAATTATCATAATTTATTTCTTTAAGTCTCTCATTCGTATTTATATTAATTTTCACCCAAACACCAACTTTTTTACCATTTTTATATTCACCATTATTAGTTATTTGTTAAGAGAACATACCATTCTGAAAGTCACCACATTACTCAGTCCAATAACCAATTTTTTCCTCCTCACCTTCTTCATTGTATAATCCACCACCACTAAAACATTTGTTTATATAATAATTCATATTTACATCTATTTAGTATCTTATGTACTTTTATCCTAATACAAAATTTTCCATCTACCAATTTTCTTATCATTTTTATATTCACCAATATGAGTTATTTACTAATTTTCATCATCAACCACAATCCACTAACCTATTTTCATCCCACCACATCCTTCATCATATGATCCTCCACCACTAAAAATATTTTATTTTATAACATTTAATATTCTTACATTTTTTTGTTTTTTCCACAATAGTTCTAATAATTGTCCCATCTGCCAACCTTTTTCCCATTTTTATATTCGCCGTTATGAGTTTATTACCTAAAATAATTAAATTTATCATCCATCTCAATCCAATTTCCATTTTTACATCCTTCATCATATGATCCACCACCACTAAAACTTTAATGAATATAATTTTAATTTTTACATTTAGTGCACCTCATTTAAATGAGGCTGTGAATATTTAATATCCCATTTACCAATTTTTTTACCATTTTTATATTCACCATTATATGTTACGTAAGTTTCAATATAAAATTCATCACTAAAATCAATCCATCTCCCTATTTTCATCCCATCAATATCATATGATCCACCACCACTTTAAAATTTTTTAAATATAATTTTACATTTATTTAAATGGTTTCCTCTTATCATTCCTACAAAATATATCCCATATACCAATCTTTTTACCATTTTTATATTCGCCTTCAAGAATTACTTAAGATTAGGAAGAAAATCCATCACTTAACTCAATCCATTTACCATTCTTAAACCCTAACTAATTGTATAACCCGCCACCACTAATTAGCTTATTAAAATTAATACATCTTTTTTTTGTCATATATATATTTCCATGCACCAATTTTTTCATCATTAGAATATTCTCCACTTTAAAATGCTTGGGCTTGACTATTTTTAAGTAAAGAAATTAATATTACCTCCAATAATTGTGAATCAATAATTTCCATAAACCCAATTTTTTTCCAACATCTGAGTACCAACCACCTACATTATTTAAAGTCTATCCCTTCCAAATTGTTTTCCAAATTCCAATCTTCTAATTATTCTCTCCATATATTCCTGACCATTCGAGATGTTATAATTATTCTAAATTTGTCAGATTTTATTGTATGTCAGTAGTAGTGTCTTTTATTTAATCACTATAGTTTAATAGTAGTATAAATATTACATTCTTAAAACTTATCCATCTCTGCTATAAGTTACTTATTAGTTCTTTGTTAAGGTGATTTGGATCTTTATTCTTTTTGGTATATTTTTTGGATAATCCCAAATTAATGCATCAAATTTTTAAGTACCTTCGAACTGATCAAGAGATTAATTCATATTTAATATAGGTATTTCGATTATACAGTTTTCAATAAGAACTCAAAAACTGTTAACTTTCTATTTATACATAATAAATATTATGATATTTTAAAAAAGGGCAAAATCTACTTTTTTCCTTGAGCAAATAACTATCTTATAATCAAAAAAGAAAGAAGAATATTGATTTATATTTTTATTTAGGTAATATCTATTATTGAGTCTTTTATCTGTACTTTTTTTATAATTAAATACAAAAAGTAGATAATGTCAATACTATATCTTAACTCTTGATTTTATTAAATTAATCATCTAGCCTTTGAGTATAATTTAATTTAACTGAACTACAAAAATAATAAATTAAGATTTTTATTTCGTTGAAATAATTGGTTATTAAAAAAATGACCTCATTACACATAACCAAATCAAGAATTGTGATTGCAAGAATTGCTTTAAAATGATGTCAATTATATTTAGGTAACAGGATATATAGGTATTAGGCTTTTTAATCAGCCCATGCAAACTTCAAAGTTTGATAATTTGAATAAAATTGAATGAGAATTATAGTCTAATAAAATAATTAAATTTCTTATATATGTTTTTTTTTTTTTTTGAAGAAAATGAAAAGAAGTTAATTATTATTTTATATCATTAATGTTAGAGGAAATTATAATGAAATTATTCTTGAGATTTTAAATTTTTTCTTGGCAATTTTTTTTAATATAATCATTATAGAATTTTGGACTAATAGTCTTTGTATTTATTAATGAACAAAGCTTTATGAGACTTAAATCAGTTGGTTTTAAGTTTTTATGATCCTTTGAGTTTATCTATTTAATAACACAGTCTTTCACTTAATCCATTAAGCTCTTGTTAAATCATCTTTGATCACCTATGCCATTTATATTCAAAGGACTGAGTAGATGTACATTAACCTGTGAGATTATTAAGCATACGTATTGCAAATGTTTTAAATAAATTGATGTTGATTTCAATTCTCCTTCGATAACAATTAAAAATGGTTAAATCTCAAATTTTTTCCTTTATTTGTAAATTAATTTTCTTAGTTTTTCTCAACTAAATTGATTTAGAGCAAAATTTTTATTGTCAATGGAAGGAAATGTATATCAAACTTTTTAATGTTCGATAGCACTTTCTGCCCAAGGACCCACAGAATTGTTGGGCTGACTTCTTCGCCACCCTATTCTAAACTTTTAACAAGGATCTGAAGACCTGGATAAGATTCGTGCAACAAATTTTTCTACAATTCATGTAGGATCTAAATCAAGAAAATCCTGAGAGGCATGAATCTATATCTGGCTAAAGTGATTCCTATTTCCTGTTCCCCTGACAAGTTTAAGTTCTGGTTTGAGTAAAAGGAAAAGATGAAGGAATTAGATCTTTATAAAAAGAAAAACATGTTCAAAAGAAATAAATATGATAGTAAAAGCCTTCAAAACTTGAAATAGCAAACAGAATAGAAATAAAGAGATCCTATCACTCTCTCCCAAGGGGTAAACACTTTCACTTTGATGAACTTGTAACCACAATAAAACCTGATCCATAGGATAAGGTTTTATTGTGGTTACTGAAAAAGGTTTGCTTGGCTATCATAAAGCTTATCAAGCAGATTCCTCTTTACCTGGTACCTCAAAGATATCTCTTAGGTGTAGGTAGAGTCAATATACTCAAATGTTATGGAGTCATAAGAATTTTATACATGCAGGCTCCTCACATGATATTCATGGTCTAATACTCTTAACATCTCTGACCTTATCCTCAAGATCTCCTACTAGCCTGACTTACCTTAATATCCAGGATTTACTTCTTTACGTAATTGCATAGGATTTCATATCCAAAATGTTAATGAATAAGACAATATTTTGGTAGTTTAAACATTCATCATCAATTTAGCATCAAAATTAAAATTTGATTTCAAATTTTGGGACCATAGTTCAAAATTAACAAATAAGAGTGATTTTTGATAAAAAATTGAATGTTAGCATACTTGTTAATTTCTATAAACTAAAATTAATAAAACTAATATGAATTGTGTGATTAAATTTTCATGTGAAACCATTATAAAAATTAATTAATAAAAGAAAATTGTTATTTTGGTAAATACCCAATTAGTTGAATATTTTAATTGATGGATATTTAAAAAATCTAACAATTTTAGGAATCCAGTTAGAATTATTATTAATTCAAATATTTAATAATAAAACCTTCTATTTCTATTATAAACAAAAATTGATTGCTTTAATTCACTAATAAGATTTCAAGCCAGAAAAGCAATTTAAAATAAAAAGAAGAAGAGAAAAGCACCTCATCTGAACTAAACTAAATAAGATCCATAAAGAAAATTGCATTAGCTTATAAAACAAATTATTGTTTGTAAGGATCATTTTATCTATTTTAAATAGAAAAATAAAGCCTTTATATCATTTAAATTATGATGATTTATATAAATTTTATATAATGATACCCTAAGATTTTTTTATTTTATTAAAACGAATTAAATAATTGAAATTTGTGGGTTCTTTATATTCATTACATTATTCAATTTATTGTCTTTTATAAATATCATAAGCATTCGATAATTATGAATTATCACAATTTTTTATATATTTATTTGATCTCTCTAAATCATTTTTTTCATTAGATCATATTTATTAGATGGGGATTGATGTTTTATTATTTCATTTTATTTATAGTTTATCATTATTTCCAAATAAAAACATTTAAATATAATTTTTATAACAATAAATTCATTTTCAATTAAAGATCCTAAAAAGTGTTATAATTATAGATCTAAATATATATTTATAATAAAGAAATTTATGTAAAATGAAAATAATTATAAATATTATTATTTTAGTAGAAATTTAAGCCTATTATTTCTTCTAAATAATTATTGTTGTCCATTTATAAGTGAAAAAATAACATATTTGATTTGAATTCTTTAGTATTATAAATCTACATTCAAAGTTCTAAATTTTATAAAAAAGACATAATTGAAAATAGGATAAGAAAATTAATAACTAGATTTAAAATATAGCAATATTTAATAATAAAATAACTTTAAATTTCATTCATTCATATTGATATGATATTAATTTTAGAATTTATCTTACATAATAAATATGATTTCTATATGAATTAATAGAATAAATGAAGTAACTATTACTAAAGTTATACAGACAATCAAATATCCCTAATGATATTTGAGACGTAAGAAGGAGAAATGTAAATGTTAAACTAAGCACCAATTTATCTTCTAAAAACAAGAAAATCCTAGATAATACTTTATTTTAATGTTGTAATATCATGATATTTTAATATTTTTAATATTTATTATCTCATTTAAATTCTTCCTTAGTTATGGCTTCTATATTATCATTCCAATAGGTTTTAATCATTTAGGCAGGTTAATTATCAATAATTTGTAAAAACTTTCGAATTTCATTTTCTCCTTAATCTAGTATTGAAAAAGATCCTTTGTTAGTAGTACTGACTATCATATCATAAACATTTTTTCCACAAATTTAAAGATGAGTAATAATATAATTTTCATTTGAAAATTAATAGACGTATTTAGAAAATTCATTAAAATATGAATCTATTTCGTTCATTTTAGGCTGGAATATTCCACTATTTATCTTTCTAAATTCTCCTTCATTTACCATTTCACAATAATAATATACTTCTTTATCTATTATATTTATAAATTCAAAATATACCTTTAGCTTTTAACACAAACTATCTGGCAATTTGATAATCTCCTTCTTTAATTTTTGATGAATTTAACATTTTATTAAATTTTTCCATTAATAATTAACAAAAGAAATTATTTTTCGATAGTTAAATTGCTTCATCTATAGTTTTAAATGGTTGATTTTAGGAAACAAGTTCTTCTATTAAAAAGAAATTTCCTATATATTCATTTTATGTTGCCTACTTAACAACACTTAAATAACCCTTAAAAAATATAGATTCAGAATTTGGTTGAATACTTTAACTTAATTTTATATCACCCTTTGAATTTGCTTTTAAACATTATTCAAATTAAACATATTAATTTTTATTCAAAAGTTCATTTGCTAAATCATTATCCATATTTATTTCAAAAATTTCATAATCTGCCTAATTTAATTAATCATTCTATTATTTTTCAAATTCGTAAATTTTATGGGGTGATTACATTAATATCTCCATTAAACCAGTAATTTTATCTTTATCATCTTGAATTTCATTTGATGAATTACATTCTAGTAGTTTTTATTCTCTTTCATACTTTTTAATTTAAAATTCTTTTTCTAGAACAATAATTTCAAATTAAGACAACTTTTCATTAGCTATATCTAATTTATTCTTTTCTAATTTTAACTATGATTTATATTTTTCTTCATTATTTTTTGAATATTCAAATTCCACTCTCAACTCTTGAATACTAAATTCCAGATCATCTATATATGAAACTAAATCATAATAGGATTAAATGGCCATTTTTTGTTGTTTTAGATATTGTTACAATTAAGTGTTTAAAAATTAACATTAACTTTGCCAATTTTAATTTGTTTCTTAATTTGATTTTATTTGTAGTTCTTCAATTTTAATTTATTATTTAATATTTTCTTCTTATAATTTTATTATAATATCTTCTTAATTTAAACTTTTAATAATCCTCTAATCTAATTCTGATTCAGGATAATTATATTTATCTTAAATTTATACTTCTTTTTATGCTTTTATCTTATCAATTTCTGTTAATTTTGTTATTAGAATATTGACCTCTTCACTTGTATTTTTTTCAGATAATTATTATATAATAGTTTTGTATTATATTTCTTTTTCTTTAATTTCTGATAATTCTTTAGCAGTCTCGATTAACTCTTGATAATACTTACTTTTCATTTTAATCAATTCTTTATACTCTCTATAAAGTTATTAAGCATCAATAACCGTGTAGGATAATTCTTTCATTAAATTATTATATTTTTAAGAATATAAAGCAGTCGATGCACTATATACTTTATCCTAATCATCAACTAAAATTATGTTATCATACGGTATATGGTGTATTCTTTTAGACAATTCACTTCTAATATTCTAAACTTCAATTTCAAAGTAGTATATTTATCCTTCTGGTATTTAACAAGTTATTTTCTGAAGAGCCATTATTTATTATTAATAATCGAATTTGTATGATTTTATTGATTTTTTAATAAATATCTAATAGAATTAGATAATATTATTTTTTATTCAAAATTTTATACTACTATTTTAAATTAAGAATAAGGTGAATATTAAAACTGATTTATATTTAATATTACACAATAAAGTTTATGATATAACATAATTAAATGGGTATACATCAATTTATGAATTTGAACATCTCTAATTAAAATATTAAAGCAAATATTGTTATATTAATGATAAGAAAAATATATAAGATAATTATTATAAAATATGCTAAATTATTAATGGATATAATTAGATAATAATAATTACTAATATACGAAATTTTAGAAATAAGTTTCTCTTCTAGCTAAGAATTTGTAATTTAAGGGAAGGTGTTAAAATAATAAATTTAATATAAATACATTTGATTTCATATATGAATTATATTCATCAAAGAAATCATTACAATATATTAATTTAATTGGATGAATTCTAAAGAATTTTATACAATAATTAAATGTAATATGGACAAGATTGACTATACAGATTAATATATTAGTTAAATTTATGTAAATATTTATCATTCATTAAGTATTTAGATTGAGAAGAGTCGTTCTTTATATTAGTTTATTATTTAATTATTTTCTATTCATTCTCTCTACATTTATTATTAATGATAATCTATCATTATTATTCTCTACTAGTTCTTTCATAAAAGAAAAAGTTAATTCTTCAATAAAGAAATTTATTCCAAACATTAAGTTTATATATTTTTATGATCAAATAATCTCTATAATATTATTGATAATCCTAAATTTCTCTTATGAATTATAACTCTTTATTAATCTAGAGATATTTTTATAGACTATATATGAAGTATATAAAATTTGCTATAGTTTTGCAATCAGATAACCTTTTTTATATTTGAATTCTAATTCTAGGTCATCTTTTATTTCCAAATATCAAATTCAGTTTAATATTATTTTTTAATTGTTGTCAAAAAATATAAAAGTAATTATCCAAAAAGTGGCAAAAAGATATTATCTATAGACTATAATATTAATACCTATTATTAAATACTTAGAATAGATTAAAGCAAAATTGGAATTTAATTTTCATTGAAAACATCTTAAAACTATTGATATCATTAAATCATTCAATTAAAATATAAAATAATATAATTGTATTATATTAAATAATCAAAACCAACTTAGTAATATTGTTTCAGATGCCAGGTTTTCCTCATATTTGAGATTTCATAAAAATAGATTAAAAGGCACAGTAGCCATTTAAAATCTTTAAAATTAATGGAATAAATACACCCTTCTATTTATTTTCCATATTTTTCTATAGTTCTTGAATGCTTTACATTTAATTCCTCCTTTTATATTACATATCTTTTCACAAATCATTAACAAAAATTTAAGGTAACTTAGGAAATCATTAATAAATAAAATACTACATTTATAAGGATATTCCTATAATCAATTATAGCAATAAAAAAATTATATTGATACTCTGCTGTATATAATTTTTAATTTTATTGTCCTCTCCTATTTATGGAATTATATAAATTATATCATAAAATAAATAAATAAAATTCTAAGTTACTAAATCAGAAACATAACAATAATTAGACTTCCTTGTTGAATAATTTTGAACTTAACAATTATCATATGAAAATAAAAATATTGGAAAATATTAGGGAGAACACCTAATTTGTAACAATATATGGAATTCAATAAATGCTAAGTTTAACTAAAAAACTTAATATCCCCATAATATAAATTTGAAATCTAAATTTTATGGTGCCATCAGAATTCGCATCAAATAGACCTTGAAATTTTTTGAATAACTTTAAGTCTTAGTTATATACTTTTCTTTTATTATTTAATTATTTAATGCATTTATATTTAAATAATAATATAAGAAAGTTAAGATTTATTATGAATTTCCTAATTATTAAAATCTTTTATAAATAGAAACAATTATAATTTAATTATTATCTTATTCAACAAATTCTGAACTAATTAATCATGTTAGATGCATTAAATACCCATATTGCTTCATATAAAGCCAATCAATTAACTATGACATGTTATTTCTTGATCTTATACTAAATATTAAATCAAGCATAATCAAAAATAATTTATGAAGATTTATTTAACAGTGTTTAAGATAGTAAAAATATTATAATATTGTTTAAGAATGGTATGCATATCGGAATTCAAATTGTAGGAATGAATTAGACAAATCGTATTTCTAAAGTGAATAATGCAAAGATTACAAAATTTTGTTAATAAATTAATGTTTATCATACGAATATCATCATTTGATTTTCAAAACTATAGAGCTTTAACCTCACTATCAATTAACATTATAATTAACATTTTTGAGGTGATAATATAGGATTTAACTTTTTAGAGAAAAGCCTTCGGTTGATCCTGAATTTTTAGTTTATATTGATGACAGAATTGTACATTAAAAGAGTTATACCAATTATATTAATTCAAATGATTTTTGTACATTAAACACTAGAAATTATGAATTTTTCCCTATTATTATAACAATTGATCATTCAAGTTCATCTGTTACAATAGCAATGATTGCTCAAAAAGGATTTTGGGGAATAACAAAATTTGAAATATCAATTATAGAATGTTCTATTGGATGTGATTCTTGTAATAATAATAGATGTTTCAATTAAGAATTATTTTTTAATTAATTTACTTCACTAGACTTTTCTTTTGTGGATATTGAAAAAAGATGGTAAACTCAAGATATTACAAATATTTAAATTGATGAATGTTTAGGTAAATTAAATTAAATAATTTTTATTTAGGATTTAAATATCTAGTTTCTAATGGTGATCATTTGATCAAATATTTTGATTTAGATTATCATCATGCAATAAGCTTTTAAGTAAAACTGTTGATATTTAATTCATAATCAACTTACATTCATATTTTTATTGATGATGTTTTTGTAACCTCAATTAAATATATTTAAGTAAAATTTGTAATGGATTTATGTAAACATATTTCTATGTAGGAAATTAATCTATTTTAATATGAACATTTTAATACAAAATTAAAATTAGAAATAAAAGTATAATTAATTTAGGATAAGAATTATAAACATACCTTTATAGGAATAAGAGATTTTTAATTTTTTCTAATAAATAGATCATTGGATGATAGATGTTTTGATAACAATATTGATCCTTTTGATGGATGCTTTTCTAATAATTATGATTGTATTTAAGGTTGTGGATTTTGTATAAAAGGTATTTGTTATGGTTGTATGGTTGGATGGGAATTTAATGAATAAATAGGCATTTGTATTCCTTATTGTGGTGATGCAATTATTACTTATAATGAGGAATGTGATGATGGTAATGAAAATGTTTATGATGGATGTCATGAATGCAAATATTCTTGTCATAATAACTGTAAAAAGTGTGAATATGGAAAATGTTTGGAATGTTTAATTGAATATGAATTGGATTTTCATAAAAATCAATGTATTCCTAAATGTTTAGATGGAATAATATTATATTAAGAAATTTGTGATGATGAGAATAGAATTCAATTTGATGGGTGTTATAAATGCTAAAAAAGTTGTTAAATAGAATGTTTATTTTGCTCTAATAATTAGTGCTATCTTTGTCAAGAGGGTTGGCAACTTCAATAATATTAATGTATATAAATTTGTGGAGATGGGCAATTAGCAATCTTATCCAACGAATAATGTGATGATCTTGAAAATTCATATTGTACTAATTGCAAGTATCAATGTGATCCTTTCTGTGTGATTTGTGATAAGTTTAACAATTGTGATATTTGTTAATCTCCTTTAATTAATATAGATGGTAAATGTTTACCAGTTTGTGGAGATAATGTTGTTACACCCCTTTTTGAATAATGTGATGATGGAAATGAAATTCCATATGATGGTTGTTATCAATGTGAATATTAATGCTCTTATGGATGTATAAAATGTGAAAAGGATAATCATTGTGTATAATGTTAAAACTCATAATTCTTTTTAGATACTCAATTTTTTCAATGTAAAACACTATAATCTTAAATTGAAATAAAACCAGAGGTGGATGAAAATATTTATATATAGTGTAGTTAAAATTAAGCATTTATTAATAATTAATGTATTAATTTATGTGGTAATGGAATGTTTGATAGAAATTTTGAATATTGTGATGATGGAAATAATAATGGGGGAGATGGATGTTCATCTTAATGTTTCGAAGAAGATTCCTATAAATGCATTAATCAAGATAATTAATTAAGTTATTGTACTTTTATCTAACACCCAAATTTTATTATAATGTTACTCTCTGATAAATAAAATTAAACCAAAATTATCGACCTAAGTTTTTCTTAAGAAGTTTATTTACAATCTAAACTTAATTTTGAACAAATAGTTGAATTTATTATCATTCCATATACTTAATTTGGATTGTCTGTTGTTCCATTAAACAACTTAACTTCTCAATTAACCAATCCTCATTATCAAATTTCAATTTAATTTTATTCATCTGTAATTAATCCAATTTTATAAATCAAAATTCAATAAGATTCAATACTTAATTAATATGATTTGGATTTGAATACTAATTTTAAAGAAATACCTCTTGGAACTCCTTTTGTCTTATCAAAAATTACTTAGGAAAAAGTAATATAAGTTATCAAAATGAATGATGCAATGGTATATTCGACTGTTAGTATTGCTGGAATTCTTTTCTTGACTGGTAATTACATTGTATTTTTCAACTTATTAGATTTATTATAAACTTTATCTTATATCAGATATATGTAATAGAAATTTCCTCCTCATTTAAGATAGTTTCTTGAAACTTATACAAAAATATCTTTATAACCTATTTTAGATAGTTTAAAAGTTAATGAAATTATTGCAAATCTCAACGGAAGTACTCTCCCAAATTAAAAAATTCAATCATCACAATCTATATCAAATAATGTTTTAAATTAGTTTTATTTAATAAATGCCAAAGGATGTTATTTGTCTTATATTTTATCTATACTTACTTATATTATATGTTGCTTAATTTCTTCAAATAAAGTGTCAACATGGTTGGGTATATGGTATAAAAAGAATGAAGAAAATTTGAAAATTCTTCACTTTATATTGAAATTTCAATAGAAGATCTAATTAAAGTGTTTAAATATTAAGAATTATTATTTCTCTTTAGGATTTTTTTAACTATTTTATTCAACACTTCACTAATAATTGTTTAGCACATTATTATAATTTCCAATTTACAATTTTGATTCTCCTTTTAAAATAATTAATAGTATTGCTGCATTAGGGAACTTAATATTTCTAATTCATATCCTTCTTAAATTGCTTTCCATCACAACATCTAAAATTAAAGATAAACAAAAATGGAAATATTTCTTTTAAGATACTAAATCTGAATTTTGGGCAACTAATTACAAACCATTTCAAATTTATAGAACAGTATTCTATATTTCTATTATAACTAAATTCATAAGATATCCTGAAGCATAATCGGTTTTACTGTCAATGTCCTCATTATTTTATTTAATCTACTTGATTCTTTATAGACCAATAAAATCTAATTTTGAATAAGCAAAATTACTATGCAGAGAAATTATACTATCAATCAACACAGGATCATTTTTAATTTATTCCTTATAATTAAATGATGAATAATATTTGTTCTATGGATGGTTGCATATTTCTTTATTTTGTTTTTTAATGGGTTTTACCTTAATTATTGACATTCTAGAGTAAGGATAAAAAGTTTATTATATCCGTTTAAAGTAAATATAAACTTAAGAGAAAATAAATATTTAGAGATATTCTGAAAATCCATTATAAAAATTTGTAGAAGTAAACAATTTAGACATAAAAAAATGAAATGAATTATCAAATAATAATTATATAAAATCTATTCAATAATTTTTATAATTTAAATCAAATATGAAAATCTTGAATTGTATTCTGTATATATGAATTGATCTAAATGTTAATTCAAATTTATTAAATAAAACCATATGTTATAGACAGTTTTTAAATTAGAATTTCATCAATTAATTCTATATTAATCCAATACGAAAGGAAATTGCTTTATTCAATAATAATATTTATATCAAAGAACATAATTTTAGCAGAAATTTTTCAACTTTGATTCTTATATCACATTTTTTTTTATAATATATCAATTCTATTGTTAATACTATTTATTTAAATAGTTTTGTTTTAATTCCAAAATATGAATCAAAGATGATTAAATAATTACCATCTGAACTCATAATTTGATTTGAAGTTGAAATAAGATCGTAATAATTTAATACTTATTTTTCTTAATCTATATTCTAGAAGTAAGATTAGAAACACAAACAACCATTATAAACTGCTTATTCTTATAATCATTAAATGTTATTTTTAAGGAAAAAACATGAGTTTAATTAGTTTTATTTTGGAAAAATACGATTTTATTTTAAATGATAAAGAAAATTTAATAGATTTTATGATACAAAAGAAGTATTTTGTTAGTTCTAAGAAAATAAATTATAAAAAGATCTGAGTTTTTAAACAATTTTGTTAATTTAAAAAAATGAAGGTTAATTAGCCTTTCATATGAAAATTTAAATTAATATTCTTAGCAGAAGCATTTATTATTAATTTAATTAGATTTTCATTTTTAATTTAAAGGTTTCAAATAAAAAATTTAATAACTCTTAATTCAAAAAAATTATTAAATGATTTCAATATGAAAACTTTTTTTATTTTTTATAGACTATTTTAAATGTTAATAAAATGAGTTTTTAATATCAGATATCTATAATTTAGCTTACTTAAAGAGTGCTTCTTATTTTTAATTATTTGTAAGTCCTTTGTTTCTAATTTCTTAGATAAATAATTATGAAAATAAAGCATGATAATAATATTAGGATTAAAGTATTTGTAAACTAATATTTTTATTAAATTATTTGTATCTAAAATAAAGCTTTTTCATTTGATATTTCATTTTATGCATGTAGTTCAAAATTATAATTAATTTCTGAACTATCTAATTATTCTATCTCATATCCTATTGTTCCTTAATGGATAAAGAAATTTTCGAAGAAAATGAAATGCGTAGTATTTATTCTTTTTATTTTTATCTAATTTATTGATTTATGAAAATAATCATAAAAGTTTCTGTGTTTTCTCAAATCATAAAATAAAAAATGATTGTTATTAATTTCTTTTAAAATCAAAATATTGTCATCAAAATAGTTTATTGTGAATATTTTATTTTTGCAGTTTTAAGAATCACAATTTCTAACTGACTTTTACAATTCAAATTAAACTTAATTCTTCTACTGATCTAATATTAATTAAAACAAATAAGAATAATATTAAGTAATAATGAATAATTTAATTTTTGTTAAACCTCCAATTTAAATACATGAGGTTAATTTTAATTCTTAAAATTTTAATTATTGATCATTAATCAATTTTATATAAAGTTATTTAGGAATGGATAAGGAATATACTATACTTTTCTTATTTAAATAGATCGAATAAATCATTAATTCTAAATTACTTGAATTTTATTTGATTTATTATATTATTAAATATTGATCCTGTGTTTCTTCAATATAAATGACATCCACGACAATTTCAGGTAATTATACTAAAATAAATTTGATTTCTTCAAAATAAATAAAAGACTGGTTAAATTAATTTTTTAGCTTTATTAGATTTCCTGTTCTCAATACATCTGCAGTAATAGGTTGTATTTGAAATTTTTCATTAAGATCTGTTATTACATAACAATTTTAATCTATTAGTTCAGAACATTAAATTAATTGAATTTTTAAATTGGTTTCTGATTGTAAAAATAAAAGATAATAATCCTATTTTATCAACAGAAAGGAAATAATTTTGATATTTGAAAAAGTATCGATAATTTCAAAAACTTAATTTTCCGTAATAATTGTTGAAAATATTAATCTTTATACTTTACTTTCAATCTCAAGTTATTTGATACAAAAATTAGATTCATTTAAACTACAAAGTTAAACTTTTTATTTCAATTGAAAAGGTCCATTAAAAAAGATGGAGGAATTAGTTATAATTGTCAAATTATTAATTGGTCCATAAAAAATATCTGATATTTATAATTTTAATGTTTAATTCTATTTAATTTCAAAATTAAATAAATTCTTAAGAGGATATATCTTTTAACAATTGTTTTAAATCTACAATATCAGTTAAATACTTCTCTCTTATTATTTATTTGGATATAAATCTTTCTAATAGAGTAATGATATATTATTTAAAAAATTATGATTTATTTCTACTTCTATCAAAATTTGATTTAAAAGTAAATATCTCCATTCTTTATTCCAATAATACAATAGATCACTTTAATAAAAAGTAAAAAAGGAATCATCAGTTTCAATAATTTCTTAAAATTACAATGAAGATATATTATATTTAAAAATAGCTATATATAATTCCTTGTTTTACTTCATTAAAATAGCTAAATGAGAAGGGTTTCTTATGTACTTAAATGGATATGAAAATACATAATCAGAAAAACTATAATTAAAAATTTAATGTAATTCATAATCATTACAATAAATAAGGATAAGTGATCTTGTGAAATTTTGTATTGCTATTATTGAATAGTCTTTATTTGCGATTGTTAAAGTTGAAATCGAAATAATTAATCCCACTTAAAATTTAAAACATCTAATATTTCCTTTATTTTCAACAGCTATAAAATTTTTATACTATATAAACTTTTAATATCCCATTTCTTAATAAAATAGAATAGGTTCTGATTAATAAAGACTCTTCGAAAGATATTTTCCATCTTAATCTAATTAAAAATTTTAATATATTAAAGGAGGTAAATTTGAATTATTCATGTATAGAATTACACTTTATGAAATTTGTTAAGAATTTATAATTGCTTCTTCAAACTTTATTTTTAATTAGAGTAATTACTCGTCTTTAAATTATATTACTCTCAAATGATTGGTATTGTTTTTGTTTATTATATAATAGTCCCCTTAAGATTCAAGTACTTCAAATTTATCTCTATTGATTGAAATAATTATTTTATTTTGCTTACAATTGTAAATATAAAAATGAGAATCTTTTTGAAAACTTATGTAATAAGGAATATTTATTTATCTCAACTCAATCTTATCTTTAAAATAAAATGATTGAAGCTTTGATAAACAAGAATTCAAAAATTTTTGATTATTTTTTATACTTACACTTATGCTACCCTCACTATTATATATATCGAATGAACTATTTTGGAATAAAAATAGTGCTTCTGACTTCCAGATTTTTTATTAGAATTTACTTTAACAATTATGTTATACTGTTATCTACTCAACTAATTAGGATTTTACTTCTAATGTGTTATTTTCATAAATTACTCTTAAACACTTGAATAAAGTATCATTTTTAAACAAATCTTTGCGGTGAATTAGGTAGAGATACTTCTATTTAGGTTTTATAAAACTGTTTAATTGATAATATCTATAAAATAATATAGCATTTTTTGATTGATCATATTAACAGAATAATTTATCAAATTCAAAAAAAAATAATGGAGTATTACTAATTTAATAAGTCTGATTAATATAAGGATTCAAAAAAACATTTAATTTGAATTAGTTTTATAGGAAAAGAATATCTGAATAAAAATGGAATTTATTATTTTCATTTTTCAAATTTAGATTGAGCTCATTAATTGAAGAATGATTTACTTTTGAATTACTTTTTTCTGTTGAATTTACAACAATTATGATTTAGCATTTCATTTATAATANCATCTAATATTTCCTTTATTTTCAACAGCTATAAAATTTTTATACTATATAAACTTTTAATATCCCATTTCTTAATAAAATAGAATAGGTTCTGATTAATAAAGACTCTTCGAAAGATATTTTCCATCTTAATCTAATTAAAAATTTTAATATATTAAAGGAGGTAAATTTGAATTATTCATGTATAGAATTACACTTTATGAAATTTGTTAAGAATTTATAATTGCTTCTTCAAACTTTATTTTTAATTAGAGTAATTACTCGTCTTTAAATTATATTACTCTCAAATGATTGGTATTGTTTTTGTTTATTATATAATAGTCCCCTTAAGATTCAAGTACTTCAAATTTATCTCTATTGATTGAAATAATTATTTTATTTTGCTTACAATTGTAAATATAAAAATGAGAATCTTTTTGAAAACTTATGTAATAAGGAATATTTATTTATCTCAACTCAATCTTATCTTTAAAATAAAATGATTGAAGCTTTGATAAACAAGAATTCAAAAATTTTTGATTATTTTTTATACTTACACTTATGCTACCCTCACTATTATATATATCGAATGAACTATTTTGGAATAAAAATAGTGCTTCTGACTTCCAGATTTTTTATTAGAATTTACTTTAACAATTATGTTATACTGTTATCTACTCAACTAATTAGGATTTTACTTCTAATGTGTTATTTTCATAAATTACTCTTAAACACTTGAATAAAGTATCATTTTTAAACAAATCTTTGCGGTGAATTAGGTAGAGATACTTCTATTTAGGTTTTATAAAACTGTTTAATTGATAATATCTATAAAATAATATAGCATTTTTTGATTGATCATATTAACAGAATAATTTATCAAATTCAAAAAAAAATAATGGAGTATTACTAATTTAATAAGTCTGATTAATATAAGGATTCAAAAAAACATTTAATTTGAATTAGTTTTATAGGAAAAGAATATCTGAATAAAAATGGAATTTATTATTTTCATTTTTCAAATTTAGATTGAGCTCATTAATTGAAGAATGATTTACTTTTGAATTACTTTTTTCTGTTGAATTTACAACAATTATGATTTAGCATTTCATTTATAATAATAATTTTTGTATAACTTTTGTGTGTTGAAATAAATTATAATTTAAAATTACTTTTTCTTTAGAATTCACTTCTATCTAAAGATAAGAATCTTTTTCTATTAAATACAAAACTAATGTTAATTGATTCCATACACAAAATGATACATCATTAATAAATGAGAACCATAATAAAAAAGTATATTAATCCTTCATTTAAGATTCTAATAGTGTATTTACTTCATTGTTTTTTATATATAATAATTTCCAACTAGAACACTGATAAAATGCAATTATATATTAATTTTGGTTCCATTTCATCTATTTTATTTTACAACTATTTTATATTTGATTTGTAACATCATGCTCTAAAATTAAAGTGACATTCTTTCCTAATAGATTTAACTTATATTATTTTAAAGTAAATTAACTTAAACAAAATAAATTTAAACTTCCATCTTCATTGAAATCAATTTCCTCACATAATTCAGTTGCATCAATTTTTGTATCAAATCTAAGCTTCTCAATAAATGTAATTTAATCCTCTTAATAAATTAAGTCAACACTTATATAGTAATTATTAACCT